AGAATAGAAACCTTGGCCTTTGTGGTAACAATTTCAACTCCAGTTTGTGAATAAAGTGGTATATTTCAGTTCACTGATGTGGCTAGCTGTAAAAAAACCTGCATTTTTACACACTTGGTGCCTTTAGCCATCTTTCCTTTCCCATTAAACTCTTTCTCTTGTACCCTACCAAGCATAAATGGCTGTCACCCTTAAAAAAAACCAGAACACTTAAAACTTTCATGGGTTGCCTAGTAGTAGAAATAAAACCAGACGTTTATCTGCAGTGAAGTCTCATTTAAAGTTATGTGCAGAGGATAGGAACAGTAAGCAAGTCATTCATAAAGGCAGCTCAGAAGAGGTGGCTTGTGGTATTCAGAGTATTTTCCACAAAATACACTGAAACCATTTGGACGAGACATGATTTCATGTAACAGATTCAGCAAAGATTTTAATTGTGGGCCGTGGCACTCTTGGGCATTAGAGCAGCATGTGGTCAATAGCTGATGTTTGCTTTTTTTTTTTTTTTTTGAGGCTTTTACACTTCGAGCACGTTATTTTTGCCGTGCAGCCTTCTGAAAACTGTTTTTCAGAATGGCAAAATTTTTGCTGTGGAAACCAGCCTGTAAGCCAGCGTGCACGGGGTGCTGTCATGCTGTCGTACAATAGAGCTGGAGCAATCCTTACCTCCCACACAGGTTGCCAGCTTCGCAAGTCAAAAGCTAGGCAGACTTTGAAGCATTAGTAGAGATGTTTCGACTACTTGGATGCATGAAATTTGACTTGCTTTGCGGCCTTTTTTATTTTTCAGCAGATGCAGTAACTTTAGTTTCATTTTATGCCAAGATCTTTATTCCTTCTCCACCTAAGTCTCATTGTTGTTCTTTGCTTCTTGCTTATATCTTAAAACAAACCAACCAACCTGTGATGCTTTTAACGATTATGCTACATATCTCTATGATTAAAGATGGTCTACACAGAAGTAAATATTAAGTAAAGTCCTTTCTACGTCATCAGCCTGCTGGCCTGTGTTTATCTTCTGTCAGAAAGTAAAACGAATGTATCCTGGAATCTAAGCTGCCTGTTTGTACAAGCACAAATGATTAACCTGGAATATCAAAGGGAAGGCCAAAGATGGCTGAAAGGTGTATTTGCTAGCATTGTTCAGTATGACCTCCCCTTTCCTAAGGAAGATGTGGACGTACTGCTGGTTTGTCTCGTTTTCAAAATTAACTTGAGTACTAAATTGAAGGCCATCGTTAGCTCAGATCCTGTCCACGTGTAAAAGTCCTTAATTTGAGCGAGGAGGCTCTTAGCTTTAATTCACAGAGTGTGAATGAATGCCATCCCAGGTGCAAATTTGCCTGCTATTTTGCATTGGTTCAGGCTGGGAGCTACTGAAGATGTTCATCACTTACATTTTTTTTTTTCCCTCTTTTTTTTCCTAGATCCCAAAACACAACTACCTAGTTTTTACACTGTGCAGCTGAAAACAGTTGTAGCATGTTAGCACTGTGCAGTTGAAAATGGCTGTAGCATCTTAGTACTGTGCCGTGGGATGGGGTATGTTATATGTGAATAAATCCGGTGTTGATGCAGAGAGACAGCAACGTGAGGACTCCCCTGCAGACTAGCAGCCATCCTTTGAGCGCCGACAATTCAGGAGGAGGAACTTGCACACAAAGGCTTTGATTTTGTATGCTGGGTCTGTTTACTCAGGGATGTTTGAAATGGTTCCTCAGCCAGGCTGTCTTTTCTCTGCCTCCTTTCTGAAAATGCTAGTCTTGCTGCAGAGATAGGTGTCTCAGTGATGAAGCAGCAGCTTTCTGATGCAATTCTCGGCTGGGTTGTTCAGACATCGGTGCCACTCTGCTTTCCTTACTACGCCCGTCTGTAGTTTGCTCCTGCGGCACCTCCTGAACCACAGCAGATGATTAATTTCTGCTTTGGAAGCAGGGTGGACAACCGGGGACTGGCAGAGGAACCACTCAACTCGCTCAAGTTACATCTGCATCAAAGACATCCCCAGGGTGAATACTGACTTTGTATAAGGCTTGTCCTTTCTTCACCTCCTGCCAAATATGCTTTCACACTAGCACTTTACCCAGCTGGCTAATTTGGCCTTTGAAATTATCTCAATAATGTCAGGTACTTAAAAAAACATTCCCATCCCTTTATAAATATTATAATATAGATGTAAAGACATTGTTTCAGTGTTGTTTGGGATGTATTGTATTAAAAAGAATAGTTCTTTAGTGCTGTGCAGCAATCCAGAGCGGAGTATAAACAAATACTATGTCAAGCCGAAACAAGTCGGTTGACTTTGAGACGGCAGAATGTAAATGCGCAAGAGAGAATTAGTACCTTTTGTAACACTGCAACAAATGCAGTGAGATTGCTTCTGCTGACAAGCCCTAAACCTTTCTTGTTTAAAAGAAAAAAAAGTGAAAAGAAAAAGCTCTTTGGAAAGATGGAAGGTAGGCAAAGATGGGTTTTGTGCAAAGCTTGTGCGAAGTGCTTCTCAGGTGCCAGGTTTGTATGTAAGTATCCATCCCATTCTCCTATGCCGCCTCTGATGCAGGGGTAAAATTAATAACTTTTTAAGCCTTTATAGCTAAGTGTACACAAGTTCACGTGTTTTGGGCTTGAAGTAGCAGCAGTCAGATCCTGCTAGCAATCTTGCTGAAGTCCTGTTGAAGACAAAGTATTTAAGAAGAAAATCTGGCATATGCACAGCTTTGCAGAGCAGGGAACGGCTGTCTGCTCCACCGCTGGCACAGTTTCATGTCCAAGTCTCCCATTGCTGACCTTTGTCACCTGTTTCTTTACTGGAATTTAGAAATCTATGGCTTTTAAGTGATAGAGCACTTGAAAATATTTTTTGCTCTAGTGGGTTTAATATGCAAATAGTGGAATAGAGCCAATGGTCCATCTCAGGCAGCCTGATTCTAGAGATTGCTCCATAAAGGTTTATTTTGGCTATTAGCTGTTGTGCCAATATTTTTCTTAGAAGAAAGAGTAATGACTTTTGCAACCTAAAATTGAGGGTTTCATAGGCTGCAGCTGGAAAACTGGCAGCCATGCTCCTCTACTGTAGACTGAAAGCCCACGGCAGAGAGAAGAGAGTTAAATGAAAAAATACAATTTTCCAATAACAGCTTTAGAAACTTACACTGCTAGTTAGCTCTAGAAAGCACACCTGAAATATAGAATAATGGTAATAATTATACAGTCAGACTACATGCAGATAGTTGCAGATGGCATACTTTTCCAGCTCAGTAATGTATTCTTAAAATTGGGGATGGGGAAGTAAAATGAATTTAAAAAAAAAAAAAAAAACAAAAAAACAAAACAAAGCTCCACCACTCACAAGAACTTTAAAATTCCTTTTGGCTAGTACTAGAACATACAAGTTCTAATTTTACCTGTATTTATTCCCTGTTTTTCCTCTGAAGAACTCGCAACAGGAAGAGGAAATTAAAGGTTGCTCTGTCGTGTTTCCATAGAACAGCGGATGGTGATTCTGTAATCCTGTTTTGTTTCATATTGAATTGCCATAGCCCTGCAGACTTCTCTTTTTTTGGTCAGTTGTTAAAGAAAACAAAAAAAAAAAAAAAAAAAAAAAAAAAAAAAAAAAAAACAAAAAACAAAAAACCAGAGAAGCTTTCTCTTGTTATGCAGTTTGCCAGTGTAAGAAATAAGTATTTTTTAATCCATTCTAAAAATAGTTTCCTGGTGCAGCTGCTTTAATTATTACTAAGATGGAGGTTTTGTATATTTTTTTCCACGAACATCTGGGTTAAATAGTGGACTACTTAGGTCTGTGTACTTGACATGTGAGGTGAGGCAGTTTTTATTCTGCTAGCTGTGGTCGGTGAGGAACATTGCTCTGGAGTTCTAGTTGAACTATAAAACAAAAAAATAAATATATCTACATATTTTTGCTACCATGTCTTCACTTTCCCCAATTCAGAGTTAAGGTGTGTAAATGCCCCAAACTGACTAAGTCAGGAGCAAGGTGAGATAGAGATGGGAAGGGGTCTGTACCAGGGGAAATGGCCATTTGAGTATTTTCTGAGCATTTATTCTCATGCTGAAAGATTCAAACTGAGTGGGGAAAGAGGCTACCTCAAAAATTGTTAGGTCATTTATAGTTATCTTCCTCTCTTGGATCCTAGTTTTAGATAAGTTAGAGCTCTAATATTTTCGTCTTTGGCTCTGTAGTTATTTTTCCTGGCCTGTTATAAGAGTTTAATGGATACTGAACAACTTGGATTGCTGAGATTGTACTGAGCAGTCCCTATTGAAAAGCAAAATTAGGTTTGTAGCTGGCAATAGGCTTAGTAGAAATGGAGATTGATGTGAGTTTCCTGATCTAATTTTTGCTTAAACTACTGTGCTATTTAGTAGAATTGGAGAGAGGGAAATGATGTCTCATTTGTGGCCCTTTCAAAGGAAAATATATCGATGCCATTTTTTTTCACTATATATTTTCTGCTGAGTGAGGTCCTGTCATACTTACCACAAAACCTTTTTGTATTTGCAAACTGCTTATGCTGTTATAGCATACCTCCCATGTTTTGTTTTATGATGTATCACCTTTTGTGTGCAAAGAGCAGTAGTTTGCACTGTATTTTATGGGACTCAGCATAGAGGTCTCCTCCAGGAGTCCCAGAACCATTCTTGGTTCAGAAATTGTTTAGTCTCTGTTCTAAAATGGGTGGGTTCTGAAACAACAAAATTCTGGTTTAGCATTTGTGTGTAAGCATAGAAAATTAAGAGGTTTTAACACAAAGGGACGTTCATTAAATCTTCTGTAACAATAGAACAAAAGCAAAGGAATTTTTTTTCCTTTAAATATGTATTCCGATCACAGATAAAGAAAACAATGCTCACATTTAATATTTGGGTGGGTTTTTATGAGTTACGATCAGGTAGTATTGTAGCTGGTATGATTGCCTTGCTTTTTTTTTTTTTTTAAATGGTTTTAAGATTTCTTTATCTGATATTTTGTTTTGCAGTATTATGTGCCAAGAATCTTGCAAAGAAAGATTTCTTCAGTAAGTATGCCCTAATTGTATAACTTTTTGTTCTTGATTAATCAGATTTATGTGTAGATTGTCCATTACTGTCGTGGCTCGTCTATGTATGTAATTTGTTCTGTGGTTCCATTCTTGTAGTAACATTGCATTACTACATGAATACACGTTACCCTGAATTGTATTTAGGTAGTGCAGAATTCTAGGCTTGGAAAGACTGAGGGCTCACATATTTTAGTTCAAAGTGTGGCTGATGAGACCACAAGCAGGTTGTTGTTTACAGTTCTGGGGGGGTGTACCAGGAGTGTTCATCTCAGCTGGCTGTTTGTAAATCATGCTAGGGGTGTGAGTAAAGTGTCCCAGTGCTGCAGGCTCAATATTATGTTAAGGACTCAATAAAAATGCCCACCCATCAGTACGCATGGGTCACTTAAGCACTGTTAAATAAAGCATGTTTAACATTTTGTTTTCTAAAAACTGTCACAATTTATGGCAGATGTCAATCTGTATGACAAAAGTATGTTATCCAATTAGGAATTCAATTGTCTATTTAGGATTTACTTAAATAGTTTTAGGATAATGGCAACTTTCCTTTCTTGAGGGGGGAACAAGCAGGAGTTCATGATAGCATTATCTTGGAAGAAAACAAACCAAAAAATATTATGTTTAATAGCACCTTTTCCCTTCCACAGGACTTCCTGACCCATTTGCAAAAATCGTTGTTGATGGGTCAGGTCAGTGCCATTCAACTGACACTGTGAAGAACACGTTGGACCCCAAATGGAACCAGCATTATGATCTGTGAGTTGTTCATAAAGTCATAAGTAAAAAATGTTCCAGGGATTTATCTAGTAAACACAATGCAAGGGTTGGCACTGCAGCTTCATTTTGTGTTAGCAAGAAGAGTCACGTTTGCTGAGGAGGACTGATTTTTTGCAACAAGAAATTAACCTTTAATAAAGGAGTGGTACTTTGCTTTTAGGTGTTTGGATTTGGAAATATTTGTGTGTCAGGTACGCAGCACGACTGCTTAGAGTAAGCTCTACTGGAGCCGTGCAGTCCAGGTTTTACAAAAGATTGTCTTCATTGTAGTGATTTATTTTCTTCAAATTATTGCAAACGTAAATTTTAAAGTTTTGTACATTAATCAGCTTGTTGCATAGCTTTTAATGAGGCTGTCTGTAGTTAAATTCATGCTGCAGCAATATCAATTTAACATGCTGTGTGAAATTATAGTGCAGTAATTCATTAATAACACCATTTAGGCTTAAGCACGTCTGTATTTATAATAAAGCAGCATGACCAATGTACTAAAATGTCTCAGAATTTGTAACAAAGCATAAATTCTGTGGAGCAAAAAGAGGTTATTTTTTCTAAAATTACTCTTCTAATATGTATTTTTCTAGATATGTTGGGAAGACAGATTCCATAACCATCAGTGTATGGAACCATAAAAAAATCCACAAGAAACAGGGAGCTGGCTTCCTGGGGTGTGTCCGACTCCTCTCCAATGCCATCAGCAGGCTAAAAGATACTGGATGTAAGAGCAATTCCTACCTGGCACAATCAAGAACCTTCGGTGCCTCGTATCTGAGTAGTGAATAGTATTCCCACACCTGCCCCAGTGTTTTGTTGATCTTTCCAATTCTCATTTGCAGACCAGCGTTTGGATCTATGCAAACTAAATCCCACGGATACCGATGCTGTACGAGGCCAAATAGTGGGTAAGAATACTCTCAGCTAAACTTTCATCTTCTTGGGTAAATATACTGTATGGACAAATGTTGTATTAAAAAGGAAGCCTGTAGTCATCATTGCTCCTGTGCCTTTCTGTGTTGTTTCTTCTGACTTTAATGGGATTAAATTACATAGCCTGAAAATTTTCATTGTACTCCTATGTAGGAGTTTGTTTTCTCTCAGTTGATAATGGGAAACAATATTAAAAGGAGGGGAATGCATCTGGCAAGGTTTCTAATGCAGCTCTGGAAGGGTAAATGTTACTGTGAAACTGATTACCTTTGGACCAAGGTGACAGGCAGAGAGACTTTTCTGTGGAGAGTTAAATGAAATTTTGCAGATTGCTGTTTTAATGCCTTTGACTCATGTAACCCATTTCCACATTTCAACAAGGCATTGCTAGCTTTACGGCTAATTTACCCCATCTTACCACGTTTTGTTGCCCCCCACCCAACCGAAGCTTTTATGTTTTTATATCTTTGGCAAACCCCAAATTATCACTGTAATGATGACATCTAGTGGTGAGTCATTTCTTTCCAGCTTACCTTTCTGGATCCTCCTGAAACACAAATGTAGAACCTGACCATGTTTGATATTTACAGAAACAGACTCAGCTTAAGTTTTGAAGGGGTGATGCCTCTCATTTCTCTTCTCCCTTTTTAAAAAATCGGTAATGCTTTAGGGTTATAGAAAGAGTTTTGCTAAGTGGTGTGTTCTTGTGTGTAGGATATAGCTTTCCTTAATATTTTACCCTGTATAAATGTGGGTTGTTTGGCTTTATGTTGGTTTTAAGTAAACAGTTGTTCTTTTATTATTAACTTGTGTTTGGTTTTTTTTATTTCAGTCAGTTTACAGACACGGGACAGAATAGGCACAGGAGGTTCTGTAGTAGACTGTAGAGGGCTTTTGGAGAATGAAGGGTAAGTATTGTTTTCTTTACACTTAATTAGAAAAGTGGTTTATGTGTGCAAAGAATGTAATTAACACTAGAAATATTTAATATCAGTGTGACTAATATATTTCCTGGGAGTATGTATCAGGTAGTAAGGTTATAGCTGGATACTTACTTGAAGAAAATAAGATAAACTGGGTAGGACTTGATATTTTTTGTTACCAGTGCTTCTGACACCTCCATGAGAAATTTGGGGTATAAAAACATTAAGAAAGTGGCATATTTTGGGTTAAAAGTTGCAGTACTTGAAGTAATGGAGAAAGAGAGAGAAATGGTTATTTCTGCATTCACTTCTCTTGTGATGGAAACTCTTGAAGTTTCCCCATTTTCAGAACGGTTTATGAAGATTCCGGACCGGGAAGGCCACTGAGCTGTTTCATGGAAGAACCAGCACCATATACAGACACTACGGGGGCTGCTGGTGGAGGCAACTGTCGTTTCGTAGAGTCCCCCAGTCAAGATCAGAGGCTTCAGGCACAGCGACTTCGGACTCCTGAAGTCAGAGGTCATGTACAGACACCTCAGAACAGACCGCATGGTCACCAGTCACCTGACCTACCAGAAGGCTACGGTAAGAGTCTTCCAGAACTATGAAATTTAAGGGGTTGGTTTTTGTTTTGTTTTGTTTTCAAAAGACTTCAGAGAAAAATTCTCCCACTTTAATATATAGATGTGGTTTGCCTGTTAGAACACGCAGCATCCACGTGCATCTAATGGTCTGCATTTTGGAAAAGGAACTAAGCAGTGCAGATGGGAGCTTGAGATTGGCTAATTAGCAGTTGGCTATGCCAGGATACACTGAGGGGTTGATGGTAAATTAAACATGAGGTTGTGGTATGATGCTGTTACAGAAAATTCACTGCTAATCTTGGCTGTGTATCTAGGGAGAACGAATGTAAAGAGCTCTTCAAACTAGAGCAGTAATGCTATTTTTTCCTTCCCCCTTGGCATGTTGTGTAGGTTTGAGCCCACATTTGAGAAAAGATCAGGAAAATATGAAAGCAACAAAGAAGCCAGTAGTACAGAAGATTAGGGAGGATAAGATTAAGGAGAATTTAAATCTTGGAAAAGAGCACACCAAATCTAGGAGTAAAGAAATCCAGTTTGGGGGTTTGGGTTGTCTCAAAATCTAAAAATAAAAATGCAAACTAAAACATACTGATGCATGGATTTGTGAGTTTCGAAAAGAACACTGAAATGTGTAGTCAAGTAAACTTGTGAAGACCGTGTTTAAGGACAAAACAGTCCATGCTGCAAGAGACCAGGTGGGGTGGCTGAAGTACTTTCTCCTAGCTCAGACAGAAAGATAATATGGTAATGGCTTTGAACAAACTGTTTATTCTGATTTTTTTTTCCAGATTTGTAATAACAAATAATCTTTCTTCCCTTTTCACAGAACAAAGAACAACGGTACAGGGACAGGTTTATTTTTTGCACACACAGACTGGAGTTAGCACATGGCATGACCCTAGGATACCAAGGTATGTATTTATAGTTACAAAGTCAGGTTTTTTGGTGTGTGTGTGTGTCTGTATGGCTGTAAGCTGAATCTTTAAGAGCAAAAATCTCTTCTTGAAAGAAAGAATTATCTGCTTGTGAATAATGTAAAACAAATGGGGAAAAAAAATATATAGTCTTTCAAGAACTCCCATTTGACAAATTCTTCCTAAAATGTCAATGTGACTTTATTTTTTGGTGAAGCTGCAGATTTCTGAATCTTACCTAATGATTTTTTTTTTTTTTGTACAAAACCAGTTTGGACTGCAAATTGAAGAAAAAAGTGACTACTTTCTTAAAGGCATTGTTCCTTGAGTACTGAACGTGTGGCTTTTGCTCGAATAGTGCTCACTTAGGTATAACTGAAGCAGAGATTATTTGTCATCTTTAAACTTGAAGTGGTGTTGGGGTTTTTTATGCTTTAGACCCATGATTTGCAGCTAGAAAATCTGAATCCTTCACATGATTGATTTAGTAAAGCCTCTTTAAACTTTAACCTGCACTTAATCCAGGTCTTTGTGACTATGGCTAAGGTCTGGCGCTCTTCCTTGAGGAGCTCTGAATCTGGGCTGTTTCGCTGGACCACTTGCACACCAGATTGAAGAGTGAAACATGACATTCGTAACTCTTCAGCTGCTCTGCTGGCTGGATAATACATGAATGGGATACAGGATATTAGAAAAATGATATAAAGTAGTGTAGGCAAAAGTGCTGATAAAGCCACAGTATATGGAAGGATATGAAAAATAGAGTTGAGAGAAAGGGAGGAAATATCTGATGTTAGATTAGCTGGTATCGTTGGGAGAAGAAATGACAATGCTCATTTGTTCCTGTCACTCATGTCAAGCTTGTGTGCCCAAAGCCTTGTCTCTTCTTCAAGTGATGCTGGTTGGCCTAATGAAAGGTAGTGCTGCTTCTCTCAACAAATCTTAGAGCCAGGTTTTCAGGACCAGCAGTCTAAGTGGACACAACAATGTCCTGTGAGTCACAGGTCACTCTTACTCTAGTTAAAATTGTCTTTCTTACTACCAAGGTGCAGTGCAAAAACCTAACCTTGGCATTTAGCACAGACGTAGGTTAAAACTTGATGTAATCAGATCTCTAAAGTACTTTCAGATGCACAGCTGATTGAAACAAATGGTCACAACCATAATCTTCTTTAAGGAGCCTAACAAAGGCTTGTCTGTCTCCCTGTGTACTCCTCACTGGCTTATACTCACTAATGAAGCCTTTGGTGTACGAAGCGTTTCTATCTTTTCTAAAGCCTCTCGGTTTACTCATTTATATCGATGTTGCATGGTTAGATTTAGGTAAGGAAATATATAGAGTGGTGCCTTCGACCCTGGATAATAGATGAATCCATGCCAGTTCTCTAGAGAATACTTTATTTAACAGCAGCTTTTCTGTCTAAAAATAATCTTCAGGTTTCCATCCTTCCTTTTCTTGCCACTCAGTGTTTTCCTCTATTAGGTGGCTGGGGCCTTAAGTGTTTTCAATTTTCTAGGTGTAAATACATCCTATATATTGAATCCAAACACTGCCTGAAAGTGAGTGACTACGTCTAGCAGCACTTAGAATGATATCCAGAATTGATCCAGGATGAAACGGGTGAATGTGTTGGTAAAGCCTTGCTCTCGATGATTTAGGAGTCAAATAGTTAGGATTCTAACCTTGTCCCATTAAAGAGGTGATGGTTTGGGGTTTTTTTTAGGTAATTTTAGTATTTGGTTGCCTTAGCCTCTTAACTTATTGGGTCTTTGGAGACGGTAGTTAGTGCAGAAGCCTTTGCTTGATGTTTGGTTTTCTGCACCTGGATCCCATTAGTGTTAATGGGAAATTTTGTGTGAAATTTTTGCTATGAAAAAAATCTCTTCCTCCTTTTACAGCCCTCAGAAGCCCTGTCATCACCTAAATGATGTTGCATATTGAAGTCACTTTTAAGCTGTACGGATTTGTTACTTTCAGAGGCTTTCAAAGACAGAAGACGATTTGCTAATTTACCTTTGTATCTGTGTACCATGCATACATAGGGAGTTGCACTGCTTAGATTGAGAATTCTAACAAGACAACATTAAAACAGCTACTTTGTCCTCCCTAAGACTTTCATAGCCTGGAATGACCGAGCACTAAATTCATTTTCCCCCTCTCCCCTGAATATAAATTGGTTTCATCTTAACTTCAGGAACGCTTTAACTTTTTGTTTGCTTTTTCTCCTTAGAGACCTTAACAGTGTGAATTGTGATGAACTAGGACCTTTGCCTCCGGGTTGGGAAGTTAGAAGTACAGTTTCAGGAAGAATATATTTTGTAGATCATAACAACAGAACCACACAATTCACAGATCCACGACTACATCACATCATGAAGTAAGAACCTTGTCTGATAAGAATCCAAACTTGAGATGAATTATTTAAACCTTTTATTTTTGTCCAATTTCAACTATATTCTGGGAGTCATGAGGGGCTGAAAAACTGCATGATAACGATATTGGGGAACAGATGCAACCAGTGCTCTAGTCAGGGTCTGAACATTGGTTCTCAGTGATGGTTTTATCTGAGCTTTTTGCAGAGACTCTTAGAAATGTTTTTATTATACTTTTCAGTCCTCAGGTTTAAGAGAGGGCTTGCTTATTTCAGCATAACACTGATCTCTTTAAGCTGGTTTGACAAAATTGCGCCGAGCTGTGCTGGAGTGAATATGCAGTTCTGGAAATGCTGGTGTGTGGGGTAGAGGGTCTGCCAGGCAGTTCCCCAGCAGTCAGCTCATGCCTGTCTGGCTTAGCTCTGTGCTAGCTATGCTAGACCTGAACTGGCTTCGTGCTCTCTTTTGCTCCAGACAGACAACAGGAATATAAAGCCAGCTGGAGTCTGGTTGCCTGGTGCTGTGCACAGCCAGCTCAAGTTTAGCACAGGATATAATAAGCTCAAGCTCTGCATCATGCAAAGACAGCAAACTGTTAGAGAACTGACCCTGGGAGCAGCAAGGCAGTGCTTCTTGTGTCCAAGATCAGACTTTTTCCTGGATCTGAGTTGCCTGTGCTTGAGGCCAGCTGGGGAGTCTCTGTATCTAAAAAAATCATTGCTCCACAACCCAAATAAAGCAGTGATGGATAAGGATAGTTGAATGTATGAAGCTGCAACTATCTGGGACAGGTACATCTTTCTCTTTGAATAACCATAGATGCAGTAATTCTACTGTGTCTAGAATCCCCAGCCTTATTTTGCATGGAGCTGGAATAAAATTCATTGCAGTTGTTAGATAGTTCCATTTATAAAGCTGTCGTTTGTTCCATTAGAGGTCTGTTACACTCTTGAAAGTTGTCTCCATACAGGAGAGATACCACACAAATTTTTTAATTACTGCTCAGTCAGCATTTAGTGATCATGCTCCACAGCCTTCCACAATGTATTGCCATATAAAAACCTAGTTAACAAATGCTGAAACTCTTTATTGTAAATACCTCTGTTCCTCATGGCCCTGAATGTAGGGTAGTGATGCTATAGAAGTTACTCAGATGAATATCCGTTTTACTCTAAGCTTCTCTAAGAGGAACCTGATCAGTTCTTCCATTGTTGTTTTACATATTCCTTATTGTTATTCTTCTAGAATAAGTATCTTACTTTTCTTTCAAAGCCATCAATGCCAGCTAAAAGAGCCCAGCCAGCAGCCTCTGCCAGCTCCAAATGAGGGGTCACTAGAAGATGGTGAGGAGTTGCCTGCACAGAGATATGAAAGAGACTTGGTACAAAAGTTGAAAGTTCTTAGACATGAGCTCTCTCTTCAGCAACCGCAGGCTGGCCACTGTCGCATTGAAGTATCCAGAGAGGAAATATTTGAGGTATTTGACTTTTTCTTACTATTAGCAGCTTTTGTCACTCAATAGTTAAGTAAAACTGATCTTCTGTTGTTGAACGACAATTTATGTATTACAGTAATGCATCTTAGTAGACTTAATTATAGGAAGGAAATTAAAAATCTAATTGTAAAAATACACATATAGGAATCCTACCGTCAGATAATGAAGATGAGGCCAAAGGACTTGAAAAAGAGGCTGATGGTGAAATTTCGAGGAGAGGAAGGCCTGGATTATGGAGGAGTAGCAAGGTGAGATTTAGGGGTTCATCTGACACTTTTTAACTGTAAAATTGTCCTTAGAGTGACCCGTGGCTGATATCATTCCCTTTCAAATTATCTGTTAATGGTATATGTAAGTTGTTTGTGATCAAGTTTATAGGTCCTGGTTATAGGTTCAGTGTTCATATCATAGTCAATTGGAAAGTGGAAGCATGTGATTTAACAGTTGTCCCACAGCCCTCCTGATGTCAAAGGCTCATACTAAATGACTCGGTGTGCCATGTATTTGGGAACATTACTGGAATTAATGCCAGATTGAGGTGTTTCTGTTTCCCTTCCTACACATAGGTACTCTCTTTTCATCACCATTACCCCGTGAGTGTAAAGGCTCATTTAGGATAGGCTATTGATATTATCTTAGAAAGTGCTGAACCCAGCAATGGGCTCCAGTTTTGTAAGTGTGAAAGTGTGATCAGCTCAAATTGTGAGGTCTTTGAAGAAGGATATAGACTCTGAAGTAAAATCCAAATCACAATAAAGGTTTTGTTAAATACACCTGTCTGATTTCCAGTGAATGGATTGCAAGATGATAGGAATTCCTTTTGTTACCTCTCAGCCACATTCATGAGAGTCC